TGTGCCCCCCCCTCCATTTGGAGAGGCCCAAGCGGCCACAGGTTAGATATCCCCCCTGGGAGCCCCAAGATGCTTCAGGAAACCTCAGGTGGAGTTCAGGAGGCCACAGGAGGCCCAGGAGGAAGCTCCAGGAGGTCCCCAGGAGGCCCAGGAGGCACCAGGAGGCCGCAGGACGCCCAGGACAGGCCCCAGGGGTCTCCAGGAGATTCCCAGGAGGCTCCCAGGAGGCCCCAGGAGGCCGCTTATCAGAACGTGTCAAGTTAATACACATCCGGTGTCGATTCGTTGATTTTTCCTGCTCTTGTGCCCCCCCCCCCCCCTCCATTTGGAGAGGCCCAAACGGCCACAGGTTAGATATCCCCCCTGGGAGCCCCAAGAGGCTTCAGGAAACCCCAGGTGGAGTTCACGAGGCCACAGGAGGCCCAGGAGGAAGCTCCAGGAGGTCCCCAGGAGGCCCCAGGAGGCACCAGGAGGCCCCCGCAACTCGGAGCTCTGAGACGCCGCGCTCGAGGTGGTCCGCCCGTTTCGCCTGAGACTTCCTCGCAGCACGTTTCGCCCGAGACATCGTCGCAACTCTGGGGTCCGAGATGCCGCGCGCGAGGTGGTCCAGCCCGTTACGCTGGAGACATCCTCGCAACTCTAGGCTCCGAAATGCCGTTCGCGATGAAGAGGAGGTGGAGGAGGAGGAGGAGGAGGAGGAGGAGGAGGAGGAGGAGGAGATGGAAGGGAGAAGGAGGAGGCGGATGATGTGCATGAGGGAGCAGGCAGGAGGAGGGGGAGGTCCCAGAGAGCTTCAGGAGGCCGCAGGACGCCCAGGACAGGCCCCAGGGGTCCGCAGGAGATTCCCAGGAGGCTCCCAGGAGGCCCCAGGAGGCACTCTATCAGAACGTGTCAAGTTAATGTGAGCATTTTTTTATTCTGGGTTCCGGCTTTAGGCGCATGGGGGGGAGGGGGGGGGGGTCCGGCTCTCGGCCCGTAGTCAATGCCTCCGATTGAATCATGTGGGGAATCCTGTGGGAGATGCCGATGAGGGAATCCTAGGGGGGACCCCCCATGGGGGAATCGCGCAGCGGCTGCGCGGGGCTGCGCCAAGGCTATGCGTGATTTGGCAAGCCTGTGCCAGAATTGCTAGGGATCACCTATTCATGATTCCACGAGGCCGTCGCTGGCATAACAGGGGAGGGCCCAGCCGGAGGCATGCTTTCTGGCGATCGGGTCCGGCGCCCCTGAGCCCTTTCGTTGTGGTTCCAGAAGAGTAGCACGATAAAATGCGCACAGTTGCACACATCAGCGATTCGAGTTTTACGGGGGGGAAGGGGGGGGGGCGCCGGCCCCTGTAGTTCGTCCGATCGATTGAAGCAGGTCCCAAAATCAGCCCGGAACTTCTCTACGGGGGGGGGGGGAGGGGGGGGGAGGGGCGTTCCGCCGAAAGCAAAAAAATAAAATAAAAGAATGCTCACAATACACATCCGGTGTCGATTCGTTGATTTTTCCTGCTCCTGTGGCCCCCCCCTGTATTTGGAGAGGCCCAAACGGCCACAGGTTAGATATCCCCCCTGGGAGCCCCAAGATGCTTCAGGAAACCTCAGGTGGAGTTCAGGAGGCCACAGGAGGCCCGGGAGGAAGCCCCAGGAGGTCCCCAGGAGGCCCCAGGAGGCACCAGGAGGCCCCCGCAACTCGGAGCTCTGAGACGCCGCGCTCGAGGTGGTCCGGCCCGTTTCGCCTGAGACTTCCTCGCAGCACGTTTCGCCCGAGACATCGTCGCAACTCTGGGGTCCGCAATGCCGCGCGCGAGGTGGTCCAACCCGTTACGCTGGAGACATCCTCGCAACTCTGGGTTCCGAGATGCCTTTCGGGATGAAGAGGAGGTGAACGAGGAGGAGGAGGAGGAGGCGGAGGAGGCATGTTTTAACATGCCATGCCAGCCCGCACTAGGCGGGCACGCAATCGACCATGGAAACCGCAGTGGGTCTAAAAACCCTGTTTGGGGATACTGCACTCCGGCTATAATTCTTTTTCAAGTGCAAGAGTTCGACAACAACGGCGACAATAACAACAGTAGCAAGCACAACAACAACAGCAGTAACAACAACAACAGCAACAATAACTGAAGCAGCAACAACAACATTCAGTTTGAAACAATTCGTGCTTTGCTCGCGTGTCACTCAAGACGTATAGCCCAAACCCTCGATACCCGCCCTCTTCGTCTTCGATCGTACCCCCTTAGGGGTATATCTTGCTGACTCGCCACAAATACTTCGTGCAGCCCCTATGGCAGAGGAAGAGAGGACGGATGGGACAACGGGGCAGGCGCTGAAACGTGCGTCCTGCATGAACCGCGCGGAAATCTCAAGATATATCGGATTCCCAAATAATTCGCGCGGAAATCCACAGCGAAAGCGTGATTCCGAAATGTCGAAGCAGCGGCCAGCACCAGCAAAAACAATCATGTTACCCTCATGCGCCATGCTTCAACCTGACACCTGCGTCGATCAAGATGCCACACTCTCTAGGAGGAGCTAAGCGGAGAGGGGGCGATATTCCCAGACCCAGATCTCCCGCCCAAGGAGGTCGAGCCAACACCTGTCCCGAGGCACATGCCCATTTCCAGTGCGAGAGATTCGAGCCCCAGGAGAGGGGCAATGTGTCGGAACATGCGTGCAACACGAAGGATTCGAGCCCCAGTCGAAGGGAATAGACAGGAACATCGCACGTAACACACAGGATTCGAGACCCAGCCGAGGGGCAACATGTACGAACGCACGCAGGAGACAATGGATTCGAGCCCCAGGAGAGGGGCGGCAAAGCCTGTGGGGGCGAAGCCTATGAGGGCCAGGGGGGGGGGGCGAAAAGAATTCCCCGAACACATATCCCGAGAAAGAAAAATGCCTCCTGGGGGCTCTTGGGGCCTCCTGGGGGTGAGGGCCGAAAACGCGCTCCCCAACACAGACATTTGTCCCAATGCAGAAAAGCGTCCCCTGGGGCCCCTAGGGGCCTCCTTCAAGCAGGACGGCCGAAAAACGCTCCCCGGACACAGATGCCACTACAGACAATTGTCTCCAGGGGATTCCTGTGAGCGGGGCCGAATGGCGCGCGCGCTCCCCGAACACGTCTCCCAATACAGATGATTTCTCCTGGGGCCTCCCGGGGGCGGGAGGGCCGAAAAAATGCTCCCGAACAAATATCCCAGGAGCGTCCTGGGGCCTCCCGGGGCCTCCGCCAATAGCGGCAAGACTGCTCTGACGAATTCCAGCGTGAGTCCTGCATGATTTGCGGGGAACTCTCGGGAGATAGCGCGATTCCCAAGTAAACCATGAACAAGGCCTGAGCGACAGAGCGATTCCTGAGTGTCGAGGGCGCGGCGTCTGAATAAACTGCGAGGAAGTGCAACGCGAGAGCACGACTCCGGCATAAATTGTGAGGAATATCCTGCGCGAGAGCGCGAATTTTGGGGAACTGCATGTGCGGAGAGATCAGGCGCGAGCCGCCGTTGTTGCAAGCCGGGCGCCAACAACACCACCTGAGCCTCAATTCTCTCCTTCGTATTGGGCGTAGCTTAATTGGGTCAGAAAAGGTCCCCTTTCGTGCCCCTTTCGGGCCCCTCCAGAGCCCCAGGGGGCTCGTTTGGGTACCATTTGGGTACCTTTTCGGACCACACTCGCCGCCCCCCATTTATGATCCCCCATTACGCAGCACCCAATTGTAACAACAAGGTGCGAGCCCCGGGAGGAGCACCCGAATCGAATGACGCGAGGTGCACCGAAGGGGGGAGCGACAAGAATCAGGATTCAGAGTTTGAGAATTCAACAACAGCAGCAACAGCCACGATCATCACCTCTAAGTCTGCTCGTTCTCACTGGCTCGCGTGTCGTTCAACATGAATATCCCAAACCCTCGATACCCGCCCTCTTCGCCTTCAATCGTACCCCCCTAAGGGGTATACCCTCCGTACATGCCACGTGTAACCGGCGCAACCCCTACAACAGGGGAGTGAAGGGAGGAGGGAAGAGAAAAGGGGGAGCGAGAAGGCTCAAGCACGAGAGAGATTTGCACGAGGGGGGGCAGGAGCACAAGCAGCAAAACCAGACCGGGCGGATCGGGCGGGCGGACCACAACAAGCGGGTTGGGCGGGGAGGGCGTAGACGGCCGACTCGAGCGGGCGGATCGATGAAGCGTCAATCCGACATGAATCACATTTCGAGCGTGATTACTGAGTGTTGGGGGCACGGCGCCGCAACAAGTAGTACCACGCGAGAGCTCGGCAACTAGATGAACTACGACGATTTCCCGGGCGAGAGCGCGATTTTGAAATAAATTGTGGGGACGTATCCGGCGGGAGCCGTTGGAGCAGTTGTAGTTCGGGGCCCAACATCCCATTCCGAGCCTCAAGACTTTCAGCTGTAAAAAACCAGATGCGAGCCCAATGAGGAGCACTTTTATTGAAAAGCACATTGCGCTCTGGAGAGGGGGGGATCAGCAATGATGACTCCTTAGGACTGAGACTTCAGCAACGAACGACCCACAACGAGAACCTGGGCCACGGGATCCCACTTCCGCCACGCACTCGGGGACGGTGAATGACCGCTCGGCCCCCCCACTCTGACATACACAAAATCTTCCGGAGGTTCGCGCGGACTTGGGGGGTCGGCGATGGACCCCCCTCTCCCGGCGAGCGGAGCGCCCCTCTGCACGAGCGAAATGGGCACGGAAATAATGGGTACAATGCCCAACAGCGGATCTTGTTCATTTTGGACAGGCCTCGCTGTCCACGCCGCCGCGGCCTGTGTCCATTCGAGACAGAAGGCCGCCTGCCCAACAGCGGCCGCTGTTGGTTTGGGACAACATTTGTTGTTGGGCATTGCACCCATTCTTTCCGTACCCACTTCGGGCGTCCAAAGCTCCCGGGGAGGCACGCTCCAAGGGAGGCCCGGCGCCGACCCATAGGAAGGCCGCGCGGGCCTCCGGAGAGGCCGGTGCCCGGGCAGTTCTCTGCTCGGGTCCTGCGGGCTGCAGGAGAAGCCGCACGAGTTGGGGTGCACCAGGAAGTCCAGGTCGCCCCTGTTCGCCATCATCCACGGGACAACCTCTGCGTACCGGTCCACGGGCACGTAGATGACAAAGTTGGGGACGACGAACGGGGCAGAGTTGGCAGGCCCACACGCTCCCGTCTCGTCGACGACGAAAGCACAGAGGCCCGTCAGGTTGAATATGTGTGTCTCGTCGCACTCGGGGACACTGAAACGATCTACGAAGGCCTTGCGAAGGGACCGGGCGAACTTGGAACCGTGCGTGTTCTCCATAAACTGTTTGTCCCACGACTGGTCTGGGTAGAAGAGCACGTGGACGTGGTACGACTCGAATGCCCTCGCGCCCGGCTCGCACGTGCAGTTCTCCTCGTTCTTCATGGGGTGCGAGTGCGCATCTGCCAGAGCCAGGACAGCGAAGATAGGAAGGAAAACACTGCCAATAGCCATGGGCTCGCGTGCTAAGCAAGTAAACACGCGGTGGGCGAAATCGGCCCAGCGTCGAAGCCTCGAGCCAAGAGGGGCACGCGATGTGCAACCACGAGCAGGAGCATGCATGCGCTCAGAGTATGCGATCATCTGACGCCCGTTGCGTTGTGCTTCCCACCACCAGTAGATTACAACAATGCGTTTGGAAGACGGTCCTGAGGACGCTCCCTGGAACGGAAAACGCCGAAGCATGGACTCGCATCGCAGCCTCGGTCGCCGTGAAAGCTTCCCCGGTCTCCCTCTCCTTCCTTCCGGACGCTACGGCGAATGAACTACCGCGCCGGGCCCAAGCACCAGGAGGGAGACGAGGGGGTTGCCGGGGCGCTCGAAGAGGGGCTTCCTTCCTCCCCCCCCCTCCCTCCAGGCTTCCCCCTTTTCTGCCCTTGGGCTCTTGGGCCCAGGGCTGTCGCGCTCGAAAGGCTCGAAAGGGGGTTGCCGGGGGAGGACAAGAAGGGGAGGGGACGGGCCAGAGCAGAGCAAGAGTGCGTCAGCGATGCAACGATGCTGCAGTGGCACCTCCCGTCCCAAAGCCCCCTCCTCATACGGTGAGTTCGCGCGGCGATGGCGCGCCCGCGAAGCCGGCGAAGGCGCTCCAGGTTGAACGCCTCCTGATAGGACGACGCGGAAGCACCGAGGGACATTGTAACGCCGTTGGACCCGACGGGATGTAACCTTGAACGACCCGGGCCGCGATCGATTCAAGGTGGAACGATCGACGCGGGGTCGAGAACCCCTGCGCGCGCTGACGCCGCACGAACCTGCCGCCATCGGCCTGACCTAAGGAACGAGAAATGAGGAACGAAGCCCCTTTGTTTTCCAAGGGACAATGCACAAGGAACGATTGAGTGATGAAAAAAGCATACGGAACGATGGATAACGCACGCAAGCCTGGTGAACGACCGAGCCCACCTTTGAAAAGCAAGTTAGGGGGCCAGATGCGACCCCTACCCCTACCCCCCACGATTTCTGAGGGGGAGGGTGGGGTTCATTTCGCTCGGGAGCTCCGGAACGAAGTGAACCCCACCCTCCCCCTCAGAAACCGTGGGGGGTAGGGGTAGGGTTCGCATCGGGCCCCCTACAAGTGTTGTTCCTTACTGCAGGTTCGTGCCGTGTCGACCCTGGCGTTGGTTCCTGACACCGCGCTGGATCGTTCAACCTTGAACGATCGGCCGTCTCCGCAACGTCCGATCGTTCAACATCGACCGATTCTGGGCCGCCGTCGGCGTTCAACCTTGAACGTCGGCGGCGGGGTCGCCGCTGGTCGACTGGACGCGAACCTACCGTGCTCAAGCCTCTCACTGTGCCGCAGGCCCCCGCGCGCGCCCCTGCTCACCGCGGAGAGGGCGCGCCCCCCCCCCCTAATTAGGGGAAGAGGAGCGCCCCCTGGGCCTGCCCTGCGGGCGGGGGGGGAGCCCTGCCGTGATAATTGCGAGAGTCCTGCCAGTCACAAAAAGGAGCGCCAAAACAGGGCTAGGATCGGGGGGCTAGGGAGGGCTAAAACAGGGCTAAAGGAGCGCTAAAACAGGGCTAAAACAGGGCTGGGATCGCTCCAGAGCGTTCCGGAGCGGCAGCAGGAGCGGCAGCGGACCGTGCGCGAGCTGCAGCAGGACGGCCCAGCCACGCGCAGAGGGGGGTTAGGGAGGAGGAGGGCGGGCTCCTTGGAGGCACCCCTGCTTCTTCGAAGGCGCGGGCCTCATCTGTAGATGCAGGGCCGGCGCCTTCTAGGAAGCGGCCTCTATCTGAGAAGCCCTCCCCCCTCCCCCCACCCCCTTTCAAGCAGGGCTGGGATCGGGATATATCGCTCCGGAGCGTTCCGGGGCGCTCTCAGAGCGTTCCGGAACGCTCTGGAGCGGCCGCGGCGCCCAACACATCCTCCAGACCCGCCGACCCTCGGAGATTTCGAGTTATCCCGATCCAATTTTGTCCCGATCTTCGCGTCTTTTTAAGCGCGGCGACGCAGCGGCTGCTGCAAGCGTTCCTCGCTTCCGGCCATGCCTGCCGAGGGCTTCGCGAGCGAGCACCCTGGCTCGAGAACAAGCCGTCCTGCATGCACAGATGTCTGCCGCTCAGTCTTCCACTCCGATTTCCATTCTGATGAGCCGCCCCCCCAACTGCCCAAGTTTAGAATACGTATGCGCGGCGCTTGGGCGACAGCCACGTTTTCAGAATGGCACGCCCGTGAATGTTGTGACAAGTGGCGCTGGAAGACAAGTGGCACACCAACATGGCGAGGTCCACAGTTTGAAAAAAGCAAAGCGCGCCCTCCATCCTTGCAACTTGCGAAAACACATCTAAACCGAATGTGCGCGGCGCACGTGCGATGACCGCATTTCGAAGACGAGTCGCCCTTCAGCCGTGCATGTGCTGCAAAGAATAAGCTCCAAGGTCATGTGAGGTGAGGGGGATACCCCCAGCACGCCCTGAGCAGGGCTTCTTCATCAGGAAGAGGGATGGAGGAGGAGGACGAGGAAACACCAGAAGAGGAGGGGTGTGCGCAGGAGTTCGATGAGGAGGTGGGGCAATAGTGGTAAGGAGGCTGGATGGATAGGAGTTCCACGAGGGGTAGGAGGAGAAGAAAGAAGACCAGGACGAGGACAGATTCCCTACTTCCTGCGGGACTGTAGACCTCTTGGCAGCATTTCGCCCCAGATCGTTCCCGACGGCCCCAGGGCATGGAAACAAGCCCACCGAGGCCCCAATCAAGGAAATCCACCCGTCGAGTTCCTTCTCCTCCTCCTCCTCCTCCTCTGAAATCCCCACCTCCCCCCCCCGATCCGTCCAGTAGGACGTTCCGGCCAGAAGATCTCGAGGCGGACTGCATCCCTGCGCACCGGACAGCCCACCGGAAGGCCAAAAGAGGCCAGAATGCACGAAAACCACAGGCTCTCCCGAACACCAAGTGGTCCTTGTTCCCGCGATTGCAATCCTCATAGGAGGAGGAGGAGGAGGAGGAGGAGGAGGAGGAGGAGGAGGAGGAGGAGGAGAAGGAGGAGGAGGAGGAGAGGAGGAGGAGGAGGATAGGAGGAGGAGGAGGAGGAGGAGGAGGAGGAGGAGGAGGAGGAGGAGGAGGAGGAGAGGAGGAGGAGGAGGGGGGAGGATCGAGGATCGAGGAGGAGGACAAGAGGAGGAGGAGGAGGAGGGGGAGGAGGGGAAACTTCGGACTTAGGAGGTCCGCGCAGATCTCTTGGCTCGGCGCTGGACCCCCGTGGCGGCGCCTCCTTGTGCCCCCTCCCTGGCGCGCACCGCGCGCCAGGGAGGGGGGCTCAAGCGCCAATCGAAGACATCCGCGCGGACCTGCGACGGTTTTTCCTCGTGCAGGCATGTGCTTTTCGACGTTGCGGTGTGAAGGGGCCCCAGGGAGCCACACCTCCATCGATGCAACTGCCAGGGTCATTCGCACTCTCCCATGTGCCTCCCCTCCTGTGTTTGCCGCTTCCCCCTCTTTCCGGATGCTCCCCGCATCCGCCACGAGACGTACACGCATGTGTTTTTCGACGGCTGTACCCGTCCGTCGGAAGAAGCACGTAGAAGCATGAAGTAGGAATGCGCCGAGAGTCGTTCGGGCTTCCGCCCGCCCCCTGAAGAGGAGGGAAGAGGGACGAGCACTTGGCGATTGAAACAGGAAGGCGCCGAATGTACATTGGGATCTGGAAATCCAAAGCTATACGCACGAGTCCCCCTGGGCAAGAGCGACCTTTGGTGCGCGGACTAAAGAGGCGCAAGGCGGTCCAATCCACGCGCGCAATCAGCCGCTGTCGCACCGCGCTCAGCGATCGGGGAGATCCCGATGAGCCCGCACCAAAGGTCACTCCAGCGAAGGATCAATCGAACTGGGATCTGGGGGTCCAGAACTACTTACTTCCAACGACCCACGGGTAACCGTCTCCGCACGATGGCAACGACTCCGCTTCTGTCGAGCATGTCCTCCTACAGGGAGATTTTGGAGGACAAATGAGAAAAAGACGGTCAGAAGAATGTTCAACACTAGTCAGAAATAGTCGAAAACCGTACCCTGACTATTTTGTGACCATTTTTGAATACTCCTCTTGTAGAGGGACGTGCCCGACTTAAGACTCCGCGCGGCGCCGGGCCGGCCACCGCCAGCCACCGCTGCCGCTCGCCGCTCGCCGCTCGCCGTCGGAGCCGGTCGGCGTCGTCAACGGCGGAGCTGTGCGCCGCTCGTCGGCAACGCTTGGCGTTGCCGCCGCGCGTCGTCGCTGACGTAAGGAGGGAAAGATATTCACAAAGACCAAGATGGAACAATATGGGAATGCAGGATTACTGATTGTCAAGGCAAATTGTACGCCGTGAAAGTATATACACGGACACCTGCCGACGAATTTTGCCTGTACCTTCAGGGAGGGTGGCAATGTATGAAATCGTTGGCTCCATTACACAGCCACCCTTCCGTGAGGCCCAGGGGCAATCCATTGGAAGATGTCTGCGTGTACGCCTCGTGGCGGATGCGGGAAGCATCCGGGAAGAGGGGGAAGCGGCAAACACAGGAGGGGAGGCACACGGGAGAGTGTGAATGACCCTGGCAGTTGCATCGATGGAGGTGTGGCTCCCTGGGCCCCTTTACAACGCAACGTCGCCGTCGGCGCTCGGCGCTCGGCGGGGGCGCTCCTGGCATCACGCGGCGGCGGCGGCGTCCTCCGCCGCGGCCGCGCCGCCGGGGCTCGCGCCGGGCTTTGCCTCCTGCGCGAGGGGAGGCTCCGGCTGCGGAGAGGGCGCGGGGAGGAGGGCCTGGAGCTCCCAGCACTTTTGCACGCGCTGGCGGCGCGCACGAGGGTAAAACGACACGAAGATCGGGACAAAATCGGATCGGGATAGCTCGAAATCTCTGAGAATCCGCGGGTCTGGAGGATGTATTGGGCGCCGCGGCCGCTCCAGAGCGTTCCGGAACACTCTGAGAGCGCTCCGGAACGCTCTGGAGCAATTTATCCCGATCCTAGCCCTGTTTGAAAGGGGGTGGAGGGAGGGGGGAGGGCTTCTCAGATAGAGGCCGCTTCCTAGAAGGCGCCGGCCTTACATCTATAGATGAGGCCCGCGCCTTCTGAGAAGCAGGGGTGCTTCCAAGGAGCCCCCTCCCCCCTCCCCCATAACCCCAACCCCCTCTGCGCGTGGCTGGGCCCTCCTGCTGCAGCTCGCGCACGGTCCGCTGCCGCTCCTGCTGCCGCGCGTCGACCGACTCCAGCATCTGGCGCGCCCGCCCACGGAAGCAGGCAGGGCCGAGGCGA